TCGGGATGAGCTTATATCTTTAAAAATGTCAATAGTTAACACAGTGCAATTTAACATATTTAAGAAATGACCTTATATCTTGTGAACTATTGACATTTTTAAAGATATAAGCTTATCTTGATGTTCCATTCATCAAGACCTTTCATTTGAGTACCCACATCAATTTTTCATATATTTTATATATTTATATATATTATATATATGTAAATATGAAAAATATATCAAAAATGTATATGGGTACTCAAATGAAAGCTCTCGATGAGTGGAACGTCAGGATGAGCTTATATTTTTAAAAACATCAATAGTTAAAAAAGTACAGTGCTATTTAACAAAAGTCATTATTTAATAAAGCAAAATTTTATTTCTTTACAGTTCACAAGTAACGGTAGTCACATAGTGACTCCAAGGTTGCTAGTTTTATGTCAATTAAATTATAATAAAAAATTCCACGTGTCAAAATTAAAAAAATTTTTTTAAAGTATTCTTTTTAATGTAATTGAATTTTTTTTTTTTTAAATTGACAGCTGTCAGCTAACTTCAGGATCATAACTTAGGTAACATATGTTACATACTACTCCTACTTACTTTCTTTGGAGTTTTTCTTCCCATGAAAGATGATCAAGCCTCCGTTTTTTTCCTCTCAGCCACATTTCTGTTTTCATCAGCTCACCCTGGATATCACCATAACAATCGTGTTGAATTTTCTGCATGTTTTTCGCGTCAACCTTGGACTTTGTGGCGAGAATAGAAGTCGTAAAATTTAAATTTCCAGTCGGCTTAATAATATTACGCACCGGGCTAATCACTGGTGATTTTTGGAGCCCTTTAGGCAACGTGATGATGACACTTTTTGGCGAAATCATAATATGCCATAGATTTATCAATAAACTATTAGAGCAATAAAAATTATCTCACTTATTGATTGTGTAATATCACTGCAATATTATCTTCAAACTTTATTGCGTAATTGAAGAAAATTTATTAAAATTATTTAATAACCAAACACTTTGGAGCTTAATCATCAAATGTTTCCTTTATTTGACTCTTCTGTTATGTTCTTCTCTCTATACCTGATGCCTGATGCAATAACTCGACCGTACTGCAGAATATTTACCCTCGGAGTGGGATCAACGAACATTCTGGTAGATTTCGAAGAATTTCATTGGTTAAGAGTGACGTTTACTTGATGTGGTTCACCTCTATTGGCTGAAGATATTCGTGTCGTCGTCATAACTACCGGTTTTCTATACAAATGTGAATCATGATTTATTAATGACCTGTTGATCGACTTTTAACATTTCCTTTACTTACAATGATAAAATTATGTTATTATTTAGTCGTAAAAAAATTTTTTTTTCTTATCTATAAGTCATAAAAAAATAAAATGTTTTTATTTGTTGAAAACAAATTATATTTAAAATTGTAATTTATGACTTTAACGATATTTGTGTAACATCGGTATGAGCTTATATCTTTAAAAATGTCAATATTTAAGAAAGTACAGTGCAATTTAACAAATATCTTGTGAACTATTGACATTTTTAAAGATATAAGCTCATCACGATGTTACACTCTTCAAGACCTTTCATTTGAGTACCCACATAAATTTTTTATATATTTATATATATTATATATATGTATATTATATGAAAAATATATCAAAAATGCATGTGGGTACTCAAATGAAAGCTCTTGATGAGTGTAACATCGGGATGAGCTTATATCTTTAAAAATGTCAATAGTTAAAAAATTACAGTGCAATTTAACAATGGTCATTATCAAATAAAGCAAAATTTTATTTATTTATATATTGGTAGTAAATATTAATAAAAATAAGATTTTTAAGGAAATAATCTCACCTGTTCATTTGGTCTCTGAGCATGAGCTTCCACGCCAGAGGTAACTTCTCGCAGAAGACTTTCTGCAAGTTCTTCGAGTCGTTCGACATAGCCATCACTTTGGATGTCGGCAAAGAGTTCCTCCAGAGGAGGTAAAGCGTCAATATCTTCAACAGAATTTCCGCACTTGCTGACGGTGTTAGGGACGGTGCCAGTTGAGTTGCCCCACCCTGCGGCAGAGGGTTAATGGGGGATACAGCTGATCCCAGCGCGGGTGCAACACAACCGACACGACCCATGCACATTGAGCAATACCGATCTGAATCAGTTTTATTAACGCTTTTATCTCCTTCCTTCAGCCTTTGATTCTCCGCAAGTAATGCTTCGTTTTGCGCTCTCAGACTGTCACACTCTTCTGCGATTAGTTCATTTTTTTCTACCAAAGTTCTTACTGTTTCTTCTAGCTCATCAAGCTTTGCTTTTTTACGGTCTCTGGATGTTTGGGCAGCAACTCGGTTCTTCAGTTTTCTTGGTTTAAAAAAAAAAATTAATTATTAATTATTGGATCTTTGAAACGTCAATAGTTAAGAAAGTACAGTGCAATTTAACTTAATTAAGAAATGACCTTGTATCTCGTGAACTATTGACATTTTTAAAGATATAAGCTCATTTTGATGTTCCACTCATCAAGACCTTTCATTTGAGTACCCACATCAATTTTTTATATATTTCATATATTCATATATATTATATATATGAATATATGAAAAATAAACTTAGGTAACATATGTTACATACTACTCCTACTTACTTTCTTTGGAGTTTTTCTTCCCATGAAAGATGATCAAGCCTCCGTTTTTTTCCTCTCAGCCACATTTCTGTTTTCATCAGCTCACCCTGGATATCACCATAACAATCGTGTTGAATTTTCTGCATGTTTTTCGCGTCAACCTTGGACTTTGTGGCGAGAATAGAAGTCGTAAAATTTAAATTTCCAGTCGGCTTAATAATATTACGCACCGGGCTAATCACTGGTGATTTTTGGAGCCCTTTAGGCAACGTGATGATGACACTTTTTGGCGAAATCATAATATGCCATAGATTTATCAATAAACTATTAGAGCAATAAAAATTATCTCACTTATTGATTGTGTAATATCACTGCAATATTATCTTCAAACTTTATTGCGTAATTGAAGAAAATTTATTAAAATTATTTAATAACCAAACACTTTGGAGCTTAATCATCAAATGTTTCCTTTATTTGACTCTTCTGTTATGTTCTTCTCTCTATACCTGATGCCTGATGCAATAACTCGACCGTACTGCAGAATATTTACCCTCGGAGTGGGATCAACGAACATTCTGGTAGATTTCGAAGAATTTCATTGGTTAAGAGTGACGTTTACTTGATGTGGTTCACCTCTATTGGCTGAAGATATTCGTGTCGTCGTCATAACTACCGGTTTTCTATACAAATGTGAATCATGATTTATTAATGACCTGTTGATCGACTTTTAACATTTCCTTTACTTACAATGATAAAATTATGTTATTATTTAGTCGTAAAAAAATTTTTTTTTCTTATCTATAAGTCATAAAAAAATAAAATGTTTTTATTTGTTGAAAACAAATTATATTTAAAATTGTAATTTATGACTTTAACGATATTTAGGGTCAGTTTTTCAATCCAAGATAAAATTTTATCCAGGATAAAATTATTATTGCCAGTATATTTATATATATGAAATATATAGATATATTTTATCATTGGATAAAATTTTATCCTGGATTGAAAAACTGGCCCTATAGTATTTACATATTAAAATTTATCTACTTGCAATTTTTATTTAAATTTAATAAATAGAATAAAATTTATTAAATATAAGCCTGTAATAAATTTATTAAATATAAACATGTAATAAAACAGATTTTTTTTTTAATAAAAAAAAAATTCTTTATTGAACTTATAATAAAAATCTATTTTTAGTTTTCAATCGATAAAGTTAGGTCATTGAAATGAACACTATAACTGAGCGCAATTCTATCAACTTAATCTAGAAAAAATAAATACATTTGTAAAATATAATAATTAAATAATTATTTTATTAATTTATATGTTAGAAAAATTTTCTTAAAATTTTACAATCTAGAAAATCTATTCAAGTCTCTATTTTTTATTGGATTATATAAATAATTAACATAATTCAATTATCTTAATCTAGCAGATATTTAATAATTTTGGAGTCAAATTATGGAAAAAAAAAAGGAAAAAAGAAAATTGACATGTAAAAATTAAAAAAAATTAAAAATTCAATTTTTTTTTTTAATTATTTTTCTGAATAAATTTGTTTGTTAATAAAAAATGGTCAAATTACTGCTCTTCAAGCGCCACATAAAAAACTGTTGGCTTTTTGGTAAATTTTATTTAACAAGAAGTCAAAAATTAATAATTGTCAATTTAAATTCAACAAAAGATTACCAAAAAAATTTCTGTGCCGCTTGGGACACTTTAGGAGTCTGGGATTAATGACTCAAGCAGCACAACAATTTTTTTTTGGTACATTTTATTAAATTTAAATTGACAATTATTAACTTTTGACTTCTTGTTAAATAAAATTTACCAAAAAGTCAACAGTTTTTTTTTGTGACACTGGGTGTGTAGTTATTAAGTCGAATGCTTAAATTAAATTATGATAATTAACAAAATTTTCTGCTAATGATTTTGCGCGTAACTCTTCAGGCTTTTAAATTTAAAACAATGACCAGTTTTTAACAATGGTTCAAGATAATCATAAGTTATAAACTTCTTTTGTGTAAATATATTATAAAATTATTCTGTAAATATCTGAAACAATTAAAAGGTCACTGTTGTTGATAGTCAGCTTAATTGATTAAAAAAAAAAAGGAATTAGAAATTATTTCTACATTTAAATACAACAAAATTTAAATGACAATAAAGTTAGCCGGCATTTAAAAATTTTTAGAATTGGTAAAATCATTTCAAAAAAATTTTTTTTTAAATATTCATCTGTGAAAAATTTGAAAAACCGTAAGTGCAATTAAAAAAAAAACTTTTGAATTTTTTTTTCTAACTAGGGTGATGTTAAAATTAAAAACAACTGTTTTTAATTTTAACATCACATTTTAAATGAGGGTAAACTTGAAAAAATATAAGCGCAATTTTTAAAAAATATTATTTAGTTCAAATTTAATAAAAAAAAAAAAGGGTTGCGGTCAATCAGTCAGATTGACAACATTCCGAATTAATAAAACTCTAGAAAATTTGCAATTCCACTACATTCAAATTTTATAAAATACATTAACTTAAATAGAATACCAGCCGAAAAACAATCTTGTAAATTATAATACACCGGGTTATCGAATATAAGTAAATATAAATCTTATATTCCTCAAGAGTTGAAATTAATTTGATTTCGAAAAAGGTTCGTTCTGACGTATATTAACCCGAATACCCATCTATCCGAATAATGATTCGGCCGAAAATTACTCATCCAAAAAATTGGAAATTTTTCTTAGATGGTCCACCTTTACAAGCATGAAATTTGAGTGTTTCCCATACATGCTTGTAAATTAAAATTAAATTAATTAAAATAATTAGTTAAAAAAAATTTCTAATCTAAATATAAAATTATTTACATTTTTCGGCTAAATGAGTGTTCATTCATTTTGGCGTACAAATTTTCGTTGTTATGTTTTTTAATTTATTGAGACTTGGTGACTTTGAAAGATTCTATTAATATAGCTTTAGTTTTTTCTTTATTTAAGATTATATTTTTCGGAATTTTAAAATTTTGTTGAATTGATTATTTTAAATTACATTTAATATTTACTTTCTAAGTTCTAGTAATTTATTAATTCGGAATAATGTTGTCAGTCTGACTAGTTGACTGCAACCCAAAAAAAAATTAAAAATGTCAGCTAACTTTAATATTAAAATTTCAGTATCTTTTTTTATTAGCAAAAAAAATTTTTTTTTTTTTTTTTGACTAATTAAAAAGTTGATATAATATTTATTTTCTAAAAGCTGTCAATCACATCACTCTTTATATTTATTATCTGTTATTAAAATATACTTATATAGCTTCGTAAGTAAATTAATAACTTAATTGTATGCAAAATATAAATAATTAATTTATTTACTTGATTTTAGCGACTGTAAAGTAATATATCAATAATTATTCAAATAAAATTCAAGTAAAAAATGAATCATTAAAAAAATGTTCAAAGTTCAAACCTAAAAAAGAAGATAATGAAGATAGCCAAAAATTTAATACATTGTCATTTAAGTAAATCTATATATGTAACAAAAAAATTATAATTGTCTCATCGATAATTCAGTACCCTCAACAACACAATATCTATTTTGACATTGATTCAACTTCAATTTCAGAGTAATAATCACGCAAGACTGTCGTAAGATTTCTGAATAGCTAAATTATTATCTAAACCGTCAGATAATATCAACCATCTCTCATTTGCATATTTAGTAAACATACAAAATAAAACTTTAGTATTTTGTGAAGTTAGGAAATGAAAGTGTTTGCGTTTCTTAATTAAAATTTGATAAAAAATTACATAAATACAACTGTGACACAAGCACTTTTTTTTTACTTACAATTATAAGTGAAATAATTATTGTAAGTAGAAAATTATGTATAAAATATTATTGTAACTCTAAAATATTTTCTTTGTTAATGTTGATTATAATTACTAATTATATAAACCACAATAATGTTCAAGAAATAATTTTTTTTAAAGATAAAAACATTAACAGTCATATGTTTACATTTCAGTATTGATAAAATAAAAACTGAGGAAAACGTCACGCAGTGTGAATGGATAATGACATAACCTATAAAACTATTCTAAATAGTATTAATAATTTAAATAAAATATTTGACGACATGGCTTGTGAAGCCTGCTCAACTAAATTCACATTATTTAAAAGAAAAGTAAGTAATTTTTTATTTTTTACACTTTTTAGTTATTTCTTTTAATTACTTTTAAAGAGTCAAGTTGATTGTAAAAAATAAAACTTAAATGACATTAAAGTCAGCAGTCACTTAATTATTTTTTAACAAATAAATTCGTTCTAAAAAATTATTTTAAAAAAATTGCATTTGTAATTTTTTTAAATTTCTTCAAGTCAATTTTTTTTTTTTTTAATTTTTAAAAATATAAAATGTTTGCTAAATTAATTTTTATAATTTTTTATTACAGAAACAATGCAAGGATTGTTTGAGATTTTTTTGTACAGATTGTGTGATTAGAAGAGGAGACAGAGTTTTAAGTTGTGATAATTGTAGTATGTTGTCCAGAAGACCACTTATTAAATCTCAAGTATTGACAATGAAATCAAAAGATCTCAAGCAATATCTTATGGCAAAAAAAGTATCGCTCAGAGGATGCGTAGGTGAGAATTCAATATTTTATTATTTTTAGTTAACAATCTTAAATTTTATGATACTAAAATCAAGAGACATCTGATAATTTTATGGAATTAAACTTAACAGTCACTTGATAATTTTTTAATTTTATTTAACAAATAAATTTTGTTTAATAAAATTATTTTTAAAAAATTCCATTTATAATTTTTTAAAATTTTTTCATGTGAATTTTTTTTTCTCATTTTTTTTGCCATATTTTAATGGCATTAAAATTAGTTGTCACTTGACCAATTTTTAATTTTATTTAACAATTAAATTAATTCTAAAAATTTATTTTCAAAAAATTGCATTTTTAATTTTTTTAAATTTCTACATGTCAATTTTTTTTTTCTTATTTTTTTTTACCAACAAAAGTTCTAAAAAGTATTAAATATCTGCCAAATTAATTATCATCATTTTTTATTTATTAAAAAAATAATCAAATATCTACTAAATTAATTTTTATGATCATTTTTAACAATTAAATTAGATCTAAAAAAATGATGAATACAATTTTTAATAAATAATTTTCTAGATTTAGTTTATTATTGAAAAAAAATAAAAAAATTGTGTTTATAATTAATTCAATAATTGATCTGCAGAAAAAGAAGATTTAGTCAATATTTTAATGCGATATGCCAACGGAGAAAGTCAAATAGACAACGAATTATTAACAAATAATGTTTCTCAGCCATTAAGGTAGCAATAATTAAATAGAAACGTTTTTAAAAAAATATTGAGGTGATTAATTATTTAATTAACACGTTTTTAAATGTATTTTATCACAGGCCGCAGGAAAGACAAAGTACACCACCTGGTTCTCCACCAAGACGATCTAGAAGCCCTCCAATAAATGTAAGGCAAACAGTTGAAAGTCCGCAATCTGAGCACGAGCCATTTTTTCCGCCTAGAAATCATAATGTAGATATAGAAGAAATTTCATCCGAAGAGGATATTAGTCCGTCACAAGGTCCTGAACCTTTAATAACAGAACAAGAGCAAGAGCAAGATCTTGAGCAAGTACAGCCAGAAGTCGATCCAGAAATAGTTATTCAAGAAGAAGAAAACTCTCCAGAGAGTTCTAAGAGTAGTGATCCGTCTGAATTTAATGAGCTTCCTTCGGTAATAAAAATTATTATTTTTATAATTATTTTTACACTGAGAAAAAAAGTTTTCTTCAAAAAAATGAGCATTTTTATGATAAAAAATTAATTTTTGGAAATTTTAAACAATTCTATTTCTCAGCTGAAGAAATACAAATTTTTCATTTTTTTTTTGATTTAGAAAAAAAAAACAATTTGCATATTTTAACCCAAAATTATTTTTCTCCAAATCTAAAAAATTTTTTTTTTAAAAAAAAAATTAATTTGATAAAAATTTTGATTTCTTCAGTTAAAAAATATAATTGTTTAAAATTTACAACAAATTTATTTATTATTATAAAATTGCTCATTTTGATAAAAAGAATTTTTTTTTTTTACGTCAAAACCTGATGTAAAATTTTAATGATAATTTTTTTAATTAATTTTTTATTATCTTGATTAGTGGACAGGTAACGTGAAGCTATCTGACATAATGGAAAGATCAGATTTAGAATATCTTAATGTCAAGCAGTTAAAAGATCTCCTCAGATCAAATCGAGTTGATTTCAAAGGTTGCCTCGAAAGATCTGAACTTCTTGACAGAGCTTCTAGACTTTGGGATGCTCATAAGCGATCGAGAGAAGGTAGTATCTAATATCTAATTCATTAATATGTAAATTATTAAAATATTTAATTGCAATTATTTTACAGATTTAAGTGCAGAGGGTCTTTATGATGAAAGCTTATGTAAAATTTGTTGGGATTCACCTATTGAATGTGTAATATTAGAATGCGGGCATATGGCTTGTTGTATAAACTGTGGCAAGCAAATGAATGAGTGTCCAATTTGTCGTCAATATGTTGTAAGAGTTGTGAGATTTTTCAAAGCTTAAATTAAAATATTAAGTGAAAAAAAGAAAGTCTAGACTGGATACAAAGCGTATAACGTTTTATTTTTTTAAAAATTATTTTTTTTCACCGGTGTCAAAGTGAAGAATATATATTTATAAAATGTTTTTGATTTTCACTATATTAGTTTAATTTCTTATAAAGAAAATAAGCTTAGAGTAAAAATTCAATTGGTTTTGAAGTTGTTTGTTATTAATAAAAATAAAAATATTTTTCTTATTTCTAAACATCGAATTTAGAATTATAAAATTATTGTCAAAAATTCTATTTAAGTGTCTTCAGTACTATTTCATAAATAAGTGATTATTATGACAATTAATATTATTGAATTAAAAATTAAAATAATTCTATTAAAATTTTTTCAATTTAAAATTAATCAAAAGTATTAGACCGTTATACTAGCCTTTGTAATTTATTTTATCGTTCTGTGCTTTATTGTTCTTTATAAAATAAAATAAACAATTAATTGTACCAAATATTCAATATTTCTTATAAAGAAAGACAAATTGTTCAGTGAACTTAAAACTATTAAGGTGATAAGTTGTTTTATAGTATACATATCAAATAAGTAATTAAAAACAAGGCAAATATTTATTTATTAAGGCGATTAAGGTAAAAGACTTAATTATTGAGACTGGCCTAGTTATTGACACTTGCAATTTTATTTTAAAAAAAAAAAAAAAAAAATCAACTCTAATAATTTAATAAATATAATTTTTTAATTATAAATTTTAAGATGATTGATTTTTTGAAAACATTTTATTTTTTTTTATTAGAATAAAATTGAAAGTGTCAAATGACTAGGTCAGTGTCAATAACTGGGTCTTTTACCCTTATATAGGGTAAAAGACCCAATTACTGACACTTTCTTTGATTTTAGTACTTATTAAATTAATTAAATCATTAATTTCAATAATGGATATATTATTTATAATTTTTAAAACCTTTAGATAAAAAAAATTTTTTAATTTTATTCCAAATAAAATATTTTTTCATTGAAAGAAAAAATGTCACTAATTGGGTCTTTTACTTTGATTATAGTGTCTCAATAATTTAAAAAAATTATACCATAGTATAAATAAATATATAAATATTAATGTTTACATTACCAAAATTATTATTCTGTATAATTTTTAAATCATACTTTATTGACTTATTTGATTAATACAATAAAAATTAAAAACTATAAGTTTTATTTCTTCTTTACAAGCTTGTTAATTAATTAACATTGTATTTTAATAAATAAGATTTGACTGAGCATAAAAGTACAGTGCTGTTGACTTAAAAAAAAAAGTTGAATAATAAAATTTTTTAGGACCACAATACTGAGGAAGAATTATTTTTGTAAAGAACGGAGTTTCTAGGTATACATATTAATTTTAAAATAATTAATTAGGCAATAAATTATTCTTAGTTATCACATTCAAAGTTTACTTGTTCATACTTCTACACTATTCTTCTCTAATATTTATAAGTCATGTTCTTACTCATTTAAATATTAATAAATAATTATTTTTTAAGGTATTAAATTTTATCCAATCATAGAAATAATTTATACTAAAAGTTATGATTTAAAGCCCGAAGAATGCGAACCACAGTTCCGGTGGAATGGTTAACAATACAGCGGCGAAAGTGATTGATAGGGACGATGAAATCGTCTTAATATCTCCAGAATTGAACAAGTCACTCACAATAACATTTCTAAAAATTTTTCTGTCCTCTAATTTTTGAACTGGCCGGAAATTGTGAGTAAGTTTTTGATTATCAAATGTTTTAATACTTCTAAAGGCCTCAATCTTTAAAAAAAAAATTATTTTTTAATTAATTATAAATTATATAAATTACATTGAAGAAAAAATTGGTGTATGATCACTTACTTGCTCATGACTCATTCGGAATGGATCTTTAAAGTCAATCCAAATTACCACCTCCGAGCAAGGCGGAGTAGTTAAAGATCCATGGTACGTATAATAATCTGAGACAATTATTTCACCAGGTAATAATAATTTTTCAGGATTTATTGGACCGTTCAATGTAACATTGGTGTTGACTTCTTCAATCATTGGAAAGGCTGCTAATAGTGGTTCATACACTGGATTAAATTCAGTATTGTCAACCTAATTAATTAAAAAAAAAAAAATAATTGAAGATTATAAATTTATTAATTTATTCATAAATTTATTGCTAGCAAAAATTAAGGAAATTTTAAAATTTACTTCAACAAAGTAAGCTAAAACTGCAAGACCATCAGCATAATGCATCGCAGCTTCCATGGATCCGTAAGATTTTTTATAAAACACCGCATGGAGCTCCATGGCATACGCAATGTTATTTATACGATCTTCAGAGCCTTCCTTGTCATCAGAGCCCCAGTGGAAGTGCATTTGCTTGAAGATATACGGATAAGTATCCAAAGGACCTCCGTAGATTTTTATGGCTTCTGGATCGTCGAATGTTATCGCCACTGAAATATAAAACATATTTATTTTTTCTTCTTGATCTTCAATTGACAATTGGCTTTGATAAGTCTTTTATTGAATGATTAGATCTTGCAATTTTTTTTTCTTCATTTAAAAAAAATCTAGAGATAACTATTAAATTTGTGCTTCAGTAATTCCAAAAACTTTTTATAAAAACTAATTAATAAATTTTGTATATAAAATTTATCAATAAAGTTTGTTAATAAATTTATTAGCAAAATTTGTTAATAAATTTATTAATAAAATTTATTAGTAAAAATTAATAAATTACCTGTATGTCCATTATTAGTTAATGTAACTACTTGAGGATTTTGAAGGCCCACAAATTTTATTGAAGGAAAACTAACGTCCTCGACTTCATGTTCTTCAATGTTAATCGGTGATTGATGTTTACCTGTACATGTTCCGTAATCTTTTGTCCAATATTGTGGTCCTAAAAACATTTAATTATTTTATTTAGTTTTTATTTCTTCATTTAAAAAAAAAAAAAGAAGAAATAAACTACAGTAAAAAATAAATTAAAGTACCATGAATGCCTTCATAAGTAAATTCTTGACCTCCAGAAATTTTGCCTGAAAAAAAAAAAAAACAATTATCAAACAAAAATAAAAATACACAAAAATTTATTTCTTCATTTTTAAATTATTGATTCAATAATTCAACTTTGTTTTTTTTTTATTATTGCCATGAAATAAAATACTGAAGTAGCTGTCTTATTCATCACCAACAATATGACAGTACTGAAAACAAAGTAACTTATCACTTGAATGTCCATAAGTAGATGCACATACAAAAAATATAATAGGCTCAATAATTAGTAAGTCTACATGCAAGTTCCCGACCTTCAAATAAAATAACGTTATCATACTCATTATATTTATTATATTTATATAGATATAAATTGATATCTACCGCAAATATATTTGCTATTTATTGTACTGTTAACGTAAATGTCACGCCAATTTAAAAGAAGAAAAAAAAATTATTTTATTGAGATACCGTGAGAACTTTAACGCTGCGTAAGATCCGTTGGTATTTTCATTGTTTTTTTTTTTTTTTTTTTTTTGATCTATAGTTGATAATCTTCCTTGCAATCTTTGATATATTTTATGTGTTAACTGACATTTCCGTTTCGTTTTTTTTACTCACTAATTTTACCTGATAAATTAATTTGTTTTGACACATTATACCATTTATTAAAATTTATTATAAATTTTTACAATAAATATTCATTTTTTTTTTAAATATTGCATTTCTTCATACATATATTTATTAGTATTTATATTTTAAAATTTTAATAAAAATTTATTCTAAATTTTTACAATAAATATTCATCTTTTTTTTTAAATATTGCATTTCTTCACACATATTTTTTTAAAATATTTATATTTTAAAATTTGTTCTAAATTTTTACAATAAATATTAATTTTTTTTTAAATATTGCATTTCTTCTCACATATTTTTTTTTATATTTATTTATGTATTAATATTTTAAAATTTATTCTAAATTTTTATAATAAATATTAATTTTTTAAAAATATTTCATTTTTTCACACGTATTTTTTTTTTTAATATTTATTTATGTATTTGTATTTATATAGCAATTGAAGACATTATCCTTCACCTACTTGGCAAAAGACTCCAGAATAATATGAAATTTTATTGTTACGAGTTATCCTGCCCCATTATTGTCAAGGATAATGAAGAAAACGTGTACTTATAAATAAATTAATTTAATCTAATAAAATACATGGCGCTTGATATCTTCAATTAAATAATTAATGAAAAAACAATAAATATTTATTTAAAAAAAAAAATACTCACTATATTACATAAATAAATATATATCATATTTATATAAAATTACTATTGAGATAGTTATGTGAAATTTAAACCTTTAATTATGTAATACCGGCTTGTAATGTTATATTTTAATTTCAATACGCAGTTTGTTAATATCAATTCTATCTCAAGACAAAAAAGATTTTTTTTTTAATAAAAATTAATCAATAAAATTAATTAAAAATAAAAATGAACTTAAAGAAGATATTGCACAGATTTGTGTCATGTCAATTATTGATATGAATTATTGAGCGCAGTCTTATAATAACATGTCATAATAATTATTATTGTAATGGTAATGATCATATAATTTATTTTTTTAATCATTGATAATTACCCGTAATTATTCATAATTTTTTTAACGCTCAAAAAAATTTCCAAGTGTGAAATAAATTTTTTTTAGTATTTAATTTTATTAGAGTAGGAATTAAATTATTTAAATTTATTACAAGTGATTCAACTTTGCGTATTTTTCCTATTTTAGTGGGAATAAAATTAAAGGAAGTGAATGTTCGGTAAAAACTTTAGACCAGAAAGTCTGAGTCATGATAAATTTCTTTTTTTTTTTAATAATAAAACAAAAGAAATAATCTACTTTTATTTGTTACAAAAAAAAGTATGACAAATTAAGCGTTTATTTTTATTTATTGATAAATAAATAAAATAAATTTCTTCTTCATTTAAATATGTCACAAAATTAAAAGAAACAAGCCCGGTTTTTATTCTAAAGGTCATTTTTGAATAAAAATTATTTATTTAAATTTTTTTACTAAAAAATAATCAATTAAATTTTGAATACAAAAAAATTAATTATTTAGATTAATTAATAAAAAAATTAATTATTTAGATTAATTAATTATTAAAATTTAGATATTAAATTTCGCAATTAATTTATTAAATATTATTAAATTCTTAGAAATGATTATAAAGGCGGATGTATCAAGTAGATTAATTTATTCGAGACACATAATACCTTCAATGATATCAAATAAAAAAAAAATTTTGCTCAGTGCGTAAACAATTACAGTAACAAGATATTTCAAGTATTTATATAAATTATTTAACAATAAATAAATAAATCCTTATTCTTATTACAATTATTATCCAATAACTAAAAAGCGACTGAAATTATGATATAACATGTATGACCGCTTATTATTAACAGTTTTATCACGATTTTGGCGTAATTACTTTTCCTTTCATTGTATTTTTCTACTTTGCATGCATCATATCGTGACGCTACCGGAAGCATAAAAAATATATTAGGATGAGCGATGCACGCAGAGTATAATAGATTATCTTATTTGAAAGATAAATAAATGAATGCTTCTTTTTACTTGACGTGACTTTCTTCACGCAAGAGATCGGACCTAACGGTCTAGTCACTGGTGCTAACTTTCTTTGATTTTTATAAAAATATCCAGTTATTTTTATTTTTTTTTTCTTTATTGGGATCAGCAGCTAGACCATTTATCTTATGACAGCTAATTTTTCTCTATCTTATTTTGCAGAAATTTTTCTTTACTATTGTGCCGGATGCTTTCAGGTAGGCAAGAGCGAGTTTTATTTTATATATTAGGTGCATTCTTTATGAATACTTATAAATGCAGAATGTAAAAAAATTTTGGTAAAATTCAATGAATTGTTTTATTTTTACAGAATATTAAAATTTCTTTTAAAGAAGAAATATTATTCAAATAAAATTAACATATTTATTGTTTTAAAAATATAATAATAAGAGCAAATAAATGCGTAAGTATTATTATTGAAATTCTTTATTATAAATTTAGAACACTAAAGTCAGTTTCTTCTTAAAAATATAATTAATATTACATTTATTTAATATGTACTCATTATATACTTAATTATGATCTTCTTTAGGGAGCACTTGCTCTAGAATTAAATTTTAATAAATAAAAAAATATGCAGAGTAAGAAATTAAAAAAAAAAAAAAAAGAAGCTACTTGCAATAAAATTTATTACAAAAGTTTTCACATTAAAAATAGATAAAATATTTTATTGGCAATCTAAGGACGTTTTTAATTGACACTTAAATATTTTTTTAATAGCTCAGTAACATGTTACTTAATATTTGTAATGATCAATTATATTTTATGCATTTTTACTGCATTTAGAAATAATTTAATTATTTTCAATAATTTGAATTTTAACTAACTTTTTTTTTGTTTTAAATTAATTAAAAAAATTTTTATTAAAATAATTTTTAATCTTAGCTGTGAAGAAATAAAATAATTAAAAAGGTTTTTTTTTAAATTTAATTTTGATAAAAATGATAAAATAAATAAAAACTTACAAGTGAACAAAAAAGTGAGGATTAAAATTTTAAAATCCATTTTTGAAGTTAAAAAAAATAAGCTTATTTCAGAACATGCACCTTCGACTTCGAATCACCGGAGTTAAGTTTGAACTGTCGAGTTTGTGTAAGCCATTATATTGTCCAGCCGCTCGCGATAGCACGAACACGAGTAAAGAAATGAGTAATACAACATATTATCCTACACCAGCTCAAAAGCGACGAGGAAACCCAAATATAAGTCATATGTCATGATCATGATTGATTCTTAAAAAGTAAATAGGTGAATACTTGTCAATCAATGGTCCTTTAATTATTAAATTATTGAAATGTCATGAATTCTAGATATAGGTGTGAAATTATTTCTAATGACATAATTTAGCTTGTCATGAGGGTAGAAAAAATAATCAATTTTGTTATCCACCATCTGAGATTTTATATACATAATTGCTGACATTCAATTATGTAGAGTTTATTCATTAATACTTTTAAAATAATTGCGCCTTATAAGATTTTCACTTTTGATAATTCTGATGGTCAATTAATTTTAATTTGACGGTTCGTTATCGTCTGTGAAACTTACTGGGGTCTTTGAACGTAATGTGAAACCTGTAAAATGGAAAATAATTATTGTTTAGTTAGTCAGAGTTACAATTCAATACTTGTGTGTTGAAAAATCTTTTTGTTATAAAGTTTTGCTGCTGTAATGAAGACACCATGGCTTTTGTTTGAAATATTTCATTATTATGACATTAAAGTTATAGCTATCACTTGATCATATTTTATTTTTTTTAACAAACAAACTTGTTCAAATTGCATTTATAATTTTATTTAGATTTTTTTTGCAATAATTTATTTGTCACCGAAATTCTTAAAATTATTAAATATCTGCTAAATTAATTTTCATAATTATTTCAATTTTATAAAAACAGTTTTATTTATCTGACAATTTTTTTTCATGTTTATAAATATAAAAAAAGTTTGGAAAATTCAAAAGTGCACGCCTCATAATCTCATTTTTTAAAATAAAATTGATTAAAATAAAATATAAAAAGCAAAATAATAAAAAACAGAAAACTCTGCTATGGTTTAGTGGCGCCATAACTCTAAGGTGAGGAAAAAAAATACTATAATAAAATGTATAGATAGAAATACAAAAAAATCCACAGTCATATAAATTGATTAAAATAAAAGATAAAAAGCAAAATAATAAAAAACAAAACTCTGCTATGGTTTAGTGGCGTCATAACTCTAAGGTGAGGAAAAAAAAATACTATAATAAAATGTATAGATAGATATACAAAAAAATCCACAGTTATATATTAGTTTTTTATAAATAATAATTTAACGACAGTGAATTGAACGCTCATATTAATTAGGGAAATCCTTCGTGTGTTACTTTAGATAATAAAAAAAAAATTATTCCGGTACGATTATTTTTTCGACCAATTTCCCTGCCACATACACTCATCCATACACGGACGTCCAGAAAAAATTATGTTAAATGTTATTATTTACTATGTTAAACAAAAAAATTGTTATTGAAATATATTTTATGTGCCTGACAAATTATTTGACTTGATATAAGTATACTCATATTAATCTGTAAGTGCGATATAAATAACAAAAAATCAATTTCAGTTTCGAGAAAACTACTTTTTTTGAAATGTCGAGAGTAGAGCACAACCTCAACGCTTCGCTTATGAGGCGTGCAATAAGTTTAATAGATAACTTAAAAAAAAGCAATTATTCTAATTAGAAAATAATTAAAAATATAACATTACTTTATATTTAATTTACCTGAAATAATAACTTTGAGTTTTGGAAATTTTTCATTTAAGTTAGCTGTCACTTGACCATTTATAATTTTATTTTAACAAAAAAATTTGTTCCGAAAAATTATTTTTAAAAAATTGCATTTTTAATTTATTAAATTTTTTAAATGTCAATTTTTTTATGCAGCAATTTATTTATTAAAAAAATTTTTTTAATTATTGAATATCTGTTGAATTAAGGTAGTTCCAGCATGAAATCACTTTTCGACAAATTCGGCTGAAATTTTTTTTACGGGTTCAGAATAGCTTTATTTATAAATTCTTTGAAATTTCATAATTTTTGACCGTTTAGATCGCGAGATATTTAAAGTCAAAGTTGGCGATTTTGAGGGTCATTTTCCATCTAAAGCATGTAAAATGTCATGAAAATTAAGTTAGCCGACATTTAAAAATTTTTATAATTTTTTTTTATTGAAAAAATCATTACAAAAAAATAAAAAAAAAAATTGCATGTCTAAAAAACTTCAAAAACTGTAAGTGCAATTTAAAAAAAAATTTTTTTGTTTTAATTTGAGTATTAAAAAAAAAATCAAAAAATTTAGAACGTCGGCTAACTTTAATGACATAAAATGTCCGGTCTCTCCAACTATTTTTTATTATATTAAAAAATTCTCTCGACAGAATTGGAAAAAAAATTAGGAGAGTGTTGAAAAATGTTTTTAGAATAAGTTAAAAAAATAAAAATAGCACTTCGCCGTTTTGTTATCGAGATATAATAATTTTAAAAAATAAATTTCGATCCATTTCTAACCTGCTCACTTAACAACTTATAGTGATTTGGCAACGCCGTGCGCAACACTCCCTGAAATAGTGTAGCATAAAAAACGGGAAATTCAAATCTTTCACGGTTTTCAAGAGCAACGTTGCCAGATCACTAGACTAACAACATGTGATTGTATGTGTGAACGTCTGTGTGCCGTGGCTTTTAAATTTTTGTATTCGTGATGTGATTGGTCGAAAATAAATATTCTCATTCTGATTGGTTGAAAGTAAATATAATATACATAAACGACACATAAATATATCATGACAATAAATATGACGCGCGCGCTTGCGCGCGAAAATTAAATTCTAGTCCTAATATAAAATTGAGATGAAATGTATGTGGCATCAAACTATTCGTAACGTGATTGGTCGAATATATCATAAGCATGAAAATATATGCAAATTCTATAGTCAAGACGCGCGCTTGCGCGCGAAAATTTGAATTCTAGTCCCATAATAAAATTGAGATGAAATGTATGTGAAACCAATCTATTCGTGATGTGATTGGTCGAAAATAAATATTCTCATTCTGATTGGTTGAAAGTGAATATAATATACATAAACGACACATAAATATATCATGACAATAAATATGAGGCGCGCGCTCGCGTGAATTAAATTCTAGTGAAAATTAAATTAGCCGACATCTGAAAATTTTTATAATTATTTTTAATGAAAAAATTATTACTATAAAATTAAAATAAAAAATTTCACATGTAGAAAATTTGAAAAATTATAGGTGCAATTTTTTTAAAGTATGTTTTTACTTGCAATTTAATTGTTAAAAAAAATAGAAAAATTTTTGAACGTCGGCTAACTTTAGTATCATAATTTTTGTCTATAGTAAATGCTCTGACTATACTATACACCACGCTGGAACTACGTTAAATTTCCCCTTCTTCTTCTTCGCTGCTTTCAGCGCCCTCTACAGTTATTATCATTGACTGAACCCATTATAAAACTACTGAAACGTATGTAAATCGTCAGTATATCGTAAGTCCTTAGCATACTTTCTTTGTCACGCGCAACGCAATCTTTAGTTTTTTCAGTTTTTATTAGTTGAAATAAATAATGAAAAAAATAATTAAATTCGGGTTCTTGTCCGTCAAAAATACCCATATTAGGGGTCAAAATGACATAAAAGGAAAAAAGTTATTCGAGTCAGGACACGTTTCGAATGGTGTAGAAACAGGAGATTCAAATAAACATTAAACCATAACCTGCTCAGTTGTCACTCAAATCAAAGTTTCCGATATTTACAGTATAAAAATTGATGTTAGTTGATGAAGTTTTTTTGAAATTATTTTTAATATTCGTTAATTGACGAAATTTATAATTAAATATAAACTTTGTAAAAATATATTACACTAAAATTAGCCGATGTTCAGCAATTCTTGCATTTGTTTAACAATTAAATTGCAAGTAAAAAAATACTTTTAAAAATTTGCACGTATAATTTTTTAAATCTTCGACATGTGAAATTTTTTATTTTGATTTTTTTGTAATGATTTTTTTAATAAAGAAAATTATAAAAATTTTCAGATGTAGGCTAATTTAATTTTGATTAAAAAAATGATACTGAGATCAGCTGACATTTGATAATTTTTTAAATTTTTATGGCAAATCAATTATCATAAAAAAAATTCTTTTGAAAATTTGTACAAATAAGTTTTTTAAATTTCTACATGTGGAATTCTTTTACTATAAATTTTTTAATAATAATTGAATTGTTATAAAAATTTGAAAAGTTGTAAGATGTCTTTTGATTCAGTTACGTAACAAGTTTCGAAGTCTAGAATTGAATTTTTTTTTAATTTTCAGTGGAATAGAAAAACTTGATAATAGTTTTGAAGAAGACATTATGAAAAATTATGTTAATTAAATTAAAAAAATAATTAATTTAACAAATATGTTATTGTTTTGTATACTAGTTGCCACCACTTTGTTTTACATTTTTCTCGGCAGGTGGCGTCAAGATCATCTTTCTCAATCCCTATATCCATGTGGATTCAACGGGTCTGCCACTAGAGGCGTGACCGAGCTGACAGTACCGCTACATTTCTCAGAAAAAAAAAATACGTTAGTGCCGCATTATTAAAAGCCCTTAATTACAATTACAGTGTTTATAAATTACCTTAAAATCAAGATTTAGTTTATTGTATAGTTTTTAATAAAATATCTGCAGCAATAATTTGCTGACCAGATAAAATTTATTTTTTGACACATACTAGAGTAATAGCAACAATAAATAAAAAAAATAAAGTTTCCCGCCCGGTAAGTAATACCTAACCTTCAAATTATCTTTATAATTTATATTTACTTACTTTTATCACTAAAAAAAAAAGTCAAAATTAACAAACAATAAAATAAAACAAACTTATAAATAAAAAAAATAATTTCCAGCCATGGAGACGTTAAAAATTTACTCCGACGCGTTGGAAGTAGCGGGAAAGATGATCGACAAGCATGTGGTGATAGACAACAATTACCCGTCATTAATAAACTTAATGAGATACTCAGTGCAAGGTGGTCCCACAGTAAGTGGCCTGGACGACTACGACTACCCGAACCTGAGCAGCAGTGCTCTAAATATCAGCAGTCTTAACCAAATAAAAGTCCACAGCAAAGTGCCTCTGCCTTCCGAAGTAATGGAGCACTTTAGCCACATGCAGTGTCACTGCATGATGGGGCTGTTCACTGAGATTTCCAAAGCCTGGTTAACAATCGACAGTGACATTTACGTCTGGTCTTACGAGAATGAGTCAGACGTGGCTTACTTCGACGGATTAAACGAGACAATCATCAGCGTTGGTCTCGTCAAACCTAAGCCCGGAATATTCCAAAACTACGTCAAGTACCTTCTGGTGCTGACAACAACTGTCGAAATCACAGTTTTAGGTAATGATTATAAATTTACCAGATATTTAATAATTTTTAGAATTTTTTTTAACAAATAAGGTAAAAGCTCCAATTATTGACAGGGGTCTAAATATTGACACCCTAAATTATTTTTAAATATATTTAATCATCTATAATAACAATAATTATCATATAAATTTTTATTAAATTCTAATTAATTAAAAAATTGAAAAAAAAAAAAAAAATACTGTCAGTTCGAAATATTAAATATTAATTATTATTAAAAAAAAAAAAAAAAATAAAGTTACGACCAGTTCATCAAATCAGCTTACGAACGTTTATTTTCTTAACAACTTTGATTAGGAAAGCATTTTTTTTAAATTCATTTCTTCATCTAATAATATCTTTTTTTTTTTTTAATTAACAATATATGAAAAATTTATAAAATTAAATAATCGAAATTAATTGTATGCTTTATAACATTTAAATAATGGGTGTCAATAATTAGTTTACAATTTTTAAGTTGAATCTGATATTGACAGCGCTATCACGCCTTTTTTTTACTTTAACCAAAAAAATTAACTGTAAGAGTTTGAACTCTTCTGATTAAATAAATTATTTTTAAATTAATTTTTATATTTTAAAAGTAATTAATCATTTATGGAAATTATTATTAATAAACTTTAATAAAATTGATTACTTAATAATAAGTTTGGATAAATAAGAATAAGCAGATGATTGTAGGCATGCTTAGTATAGGTGTCAATAATTGGGGTGAAGGTATGTCAATAATTAGATCAATCA